ATATATATATATATATATATATATATATATATATATATATATATATTAAAGTTATGAACAGTAAACTACAATTTTTTTTCTCAATTTTGGTTCTCCATTGTTTGAATTAAATTGTTTGAATTAATGTTACAAAATTGACCCTTCACGTTTATGCATTTGTTCACAAACAATCCCTCCACTTTCGTTTGAATTTTTCATAACCCTCGCCTTTTATAACATATTATTAGTATTTAGTTATATTAATATTTTTTTGGGAGAAATGGTCCCTTAATTATATTTTGGTCATTTTAAAGTTGCTTCATTTTTGTATTTTTTGGTCCCTCTACTTCCATTTGTTATTTATGGCATTGTAGGTTCCTATGTTTTCATTTAATTGTTACTTTATTAGTTGGTATTATTATTATTATTATTATTATTATTATTATTATTATTATTATTATTGTTGTTGTTGTTGTTGTTGTTGTTGTTGTTGTTGTTAGACAAAATTACACGATTGATCCCTGTGGTTTACTAGATTTAACACATTGAGGACAATGATGGAAAACGAAATTACTCTTTTACTCCTAATCCGATTTTTTATTAATTTATTTTTCTATTTTTGGTTTTAAATTAATGTTTTATTTATTAGAAAATGTCCATCCAGTAACATAAAGTCACCCACCATCTGCCATCACCATCACCAACACCGCCAAAATTACATAAATGGTCCCTATGGTTTACCCGTGGTCACAAATTCATTCCCTACTACCTGAAAAGACCAAATTACTCTCACATTAACGGATAAAAACCAACGTTCTATATTTTCCAAATTGGTTTTCCGCCCGCTGCCATATATGACAATAAAGTTTAATTTTTGAGACAAATTATTTATTTTCCTCATTTATTGCAAGAAATAATGATTTAGATTTCCTTACTTATGTGATTAGATGACATTGTTTATCTTCCTTTATTAGATTATCTCAATGCAATTCAACATGCTAATTTATTTTACAAAGCAATACCTTCTGACCCCGACAACGTCGGGGAATCCTTTCTAGTTTGTATAAAAGTTGATAAATAATCATTTGTCATGTTGTTCATTCCACTTGGAGCATCATTTTTTTATTTTATTTTTTATAATTTGTGTATTACACCCAAAAGAAAATGTACAATACAGAAAATCTGGGTAAAGGTCATTTTCATCCTTTTATCTTAAATTTCTTTTTCTCTATTTATGAAGAAGTGGCTTTATCCTCATAGCTTAATGAATTAGACTAAACTAATATCTTTCTATGTTTGTGTTGCTCATCCTCAAGTATCATCATTTCTTGGAACTATCAGCTAATCTACTTGGTTGTAAACAGATTTTAGTCTATAAAATATATTACTTTCTCTTGCATCTAACCAAATAAGGGCAAGGGTAGATGTAACTGAAATCAAACTAGGAACGACATTTGTTTATGGCCAGGGGCATAATTGTCCATTATGTATATGGATATTGTATTTGAAATCACATTCTACTAAAACACAATATTTTTCTTACATATTTCATGTCAAATATTAATATTATCAGGTTTGGTGCAATGTTTTTCAAAATAGTCAGTCTGGTGATTCAAATGCATGTGTCTGTTTCAAAGATAATAGAAATGGTTCCTGCAAACAGTGCATGGACATTTCCGTCAATATCATTTTGTATTTTAAAAACGCATAATAGGACAAATTGTCATTACTCCAATTTTCCTCCATACACTGCATTCTTATACACCCAAAATCTGAAATTTTTAAGTGGAATCTTAATCTTATATATGTACAATTACCACATCAATCTAATGTAACAGCCGGGATCTCCAGGTATCTTTACTTTCATGTTTTTGGTATTCTATGAGGGGACTCGACGAGTTGGAGGTCGAACTCGCCGAGTCGGGTCGCGGTTTTGGACGGAGGTTTGCGTCCGGACTCGGCGAGTCCAAGGGATGGACTCGGCGAGTCCGTGTTGTTTAATGAAACCCTAATTTCCCGGTCTTAAGCCCTATTTAAAGGACCTTATGGCCTTCAGTTGCGGCCACCTTGAGCCCTAAGTGCACCCAAACGGTTGAGAGACCTTGTGAGTGTGATAAGAGGCTATTTGTTCATCATTTTGTGTGTTATTGCAAGAAAGGAGGGAGAAGATCAAGCTTGAAGAGTTGGGGAGCTTGGATTTGCTTCTATTTCATCAAGGGAAACTTCTTGAGGTAACTTTCAGAGCTAAACTTCGTATTTTGGTTGATGTGTCAAATCTAGGGTTTTTTCTTGCCTTATTTAGCTTGAATTGGAAGTATGAAAGGTCCCATGGAGATATGGAACCTAGATCTGGACCTTAGCAGGTCCAGGAGGCCCCAAATGACAAGCTTTATGTCCATTCTTTTGAGTTGGAAGCTAGGATTGCCATATTAGAGGTTATTTCTCCAAAATGAGCCTTGTATGCGTTGCATGGCGACCAAGACTGAGACTTTACGTGCTAAATGAGCTTGGGAAGGCCAAATGTATGTGTGTATGGAACGGATCTGACCGTAAAAGCCAGTTTTAGCTGATGCATGGCATGGACTCGCCGAGTCTGAAGAACAGACTCGACGAGTCGCTTGAAGATTGTCCTTGAGACCTCCCAGTGTGTGTTCTTGCCGAGTTGTGGGTGACTCAGTGAGTCACAGAGAGTTAGAAAGGTTTTGACAGGTGGACCAAGTCGAGTTGGGACTCGCCGAGTTGTCCTTGCGACTCGGCGAGTTGAGTCGCGGTGGCCCCGTGATTCACGCCCAGGTGGAACTCGTCGAGTCAGGCGAGTACTCGACGAGTCAAAGGGAAAATCCTTGCGAGTTGGTGAAAACGCGTAGACTCGCCGAGTCACTCTTGTGCGCTCGCCGAGTCCGGTCAATTTGACCAAAGACTGTTGACCAAGTTGACCAGTGTTGACTTGATAAGGATGGTCAACCTTAGTGGTACAAGTAATAATTATAGATATATGATGTCATAGGAGGATTATAGCTCGGGGGTTCGAGCACGAGTGATTTCCAGGGTTCATGAGTTATCGAGACATATGAGGTGAGTCTTCTCACTATACTGTACCTGGAAGGGTTTGACTGTGTGACTGGAAGGTCGAATATGATATGAGATATATGCATTATGTGTGATAGGTTAATCGTTATATGTGCCATGTATGATATGCTTGATATGGGCCGGAAGGCATTATGTTATGGGTCGGAAGGCGAATATGTTATGGTCCGGAAGGCATTGTAATGTGGACCGTGAAGTTGACGTGGGTAGGACCGGAAGGTTTACCTAGTCGGGACGGAAGTCCCCTGAGACACATGGACCGGAAGGTCGGGGCCTGGAAAGGCGTATGTGCGTAGGTTGTATTTTGGGGAACTCACTAAGCATTTATGCTTACAATTGTTGTGTGATGTGTTTCAGGTACTAGCGAGGACCGTGGGAAGGCGCCGATGTGATCGTACACACACTCAGGGGAAAACCATTTTTGTGATCCTTGTTATGTAATCGGTCGTGACAATATTGTTACATTTGAAACCTAAATTTATTACTCGATGTTTTGATGTTTGTAAAAAAAAAAATTGGCTTTGAAATTTACGTCGTTACATCTAATTTGGAAGGAACCTGATTCAAACAAACACTCACATAATATGAAATTCAAAATTTCAAGCAAATTGAAAGGTACCCAATTGTGTCTCCAGTCTTAAAGTATTTCAAGTTATTCCTTACTACCACTTCAGTTTTCACTAACATCTTCAAAGACAACATTGCCAAAAATAATTAGGTAAAATTATCTTCCAACTAATGTATGTCCTGTTAAAAAAACTGAGATTAACAAGGATTTAGAGAATTTCTTACTGAAAATTTTCCCATCTTCAACCCCAATGTTTCGTTTCTTTATTCTCTGAGTTCTACATCGGGTATTAATCAACATGAATTTCTCTTCAGTTTAAATTTCTTCTATGGTTTTTATATTTGTATATGCCTTCATGGATATTAATGGAGAAACTTCCATACCTTTCTGAAATGAATACGAGGGAGATGTTCCAAGTGCTGGCGGAAATATCATTTTGGGGATAATTATATGCCTTCGTTTCTATTACAGCCAAAGGGGAGTAGGGATGAGTGATAAGTTTTCGGTGGGTATTTTGGTGTATATATATATATATTAAATAAAAACATTATATACATAAAAACACTTATAAGAAATGTTCAAATGATTTATTTTCTCATTTTTTCTATTAAAAATAGTTACATAAATTTCATTGGTATATATCCCCAATTAATATTATTAATTTTATTTATGATCATTGCTCAACAATTATGCTACAACTTAAATAAAATTATTTTTAACTTTTTGATCCGTGGTTATAACCTACATATTTTTCTACATATTTTTTGGTAGGAAGGTAAGAAGTTTTTTTTCTACATATTTTTTTTGCGAACAAATAAAATGAATCATTAGATGATTTATTTGTAAGATGATTCACAAGAAAAAATTCTCAAAAAAACATATCGATGATTCATTTATACAATGATTTTGTTATTATTCACTAAAATTATCATAAAAATGAATTTTTTCTTAATTTACTTAAAAATGAATCATAAAGATGTTTTTTTGGAAATTTTTTCTCGTGAATCATCTTACAAATGAATCATGTAGTGATTCATTTATTTTGTTCGTCAAAAAAATATGTTGAAAAAAAACTTCTTACCTTCCTACCAAAAAAAATTTCTTACCGGATCTATATATAAATAAATATATATATATATATATATATATATATATATATATATATATATATATATATATATATTAAAGTTATCCGAACTTAGGAACAGTAAAAATGATGGGTTTTTAGCAACTTTGGTCCACATATTTGTTGAATATCTAAATTGGTCCCATTCTTTATTGAAATTGTAGATTGGTTCTTACTCTATTCCTATTGGTTGAACATTTTGACATTTTGATTTTTTTTTTCAAAATCTATCATGTCTACCTGTTATGTTCTTAAATACTCAAATTATTTTTCTTCCACATCTTCTTCACCGATTTCGTCACCCACTAATCTCTTTTGCTTCTCTCCACCACCTCATGTACTACTCATTTATCTCTTCCGATCGATTTCATCGTTTTATCATAGAAGGTCATCGCTTCATCTCAAAGACCATTCCTCACCACCGGTTGCTTTCCTCTCCTTCTACTTCCCTGCATCTCCTTCTTCCATCGTTTTGCTTTCCGTATTCCATTCAACCTCCACCAGATGACTTTTTATACATAAGTAACCTACTTCCCTCCTTCGCTTCTTCACCATCTTCTTTATCACTCAGTCGATTGGATTTTGATGCTTGAGTTCGTGTCTCATTACACAGTGCTTTTTGATTCAAAACAAGATCATAATGTTTTTGACTCGATAAAGTTGCTCAAGCGACAAAGGGTTGACTTTCGGATGGATCACCACTGTATGATAAACTACTTCAAGGGTTGCATATCTCACTTATGTATTGTTTGTATCAGGACAACCAAAAGAAGCAAACGAAACTTCATGGCGACTTCTGTGACCCAATCAGGTATATTAGCATTTGAGTTTATCTTTTTGACATAAAACACCATCTTTTTTGACTTTGTTCTATCAATTTCTTTTGCTATTGAATTAGGAGACAACTATTCATGTAACTAGGGTGATTTTTAGGAAACTTTCATGATGCATCCCAATTGCTCGATAGAATGCTTGAACCAAGTTTCTGAATTTTCTGTCTAAATCTTTTTATCCGAGTTTAGATTTTTTTAATTGACACGTAACTCTGCCAAAATCAGATTACCAATCACCAATCTATTGGCTTAAAACGATGAGCCCATGTGAAGAATGAATCATTTCATGTAGGTTTCCCTACGAGTACATTTTGTGGAACCCAATCAAAAACGGATTTCACAAATGCTTATCAATGAAGCATACATTTATGTTGTTGTTGTTGTTGCCTGTTGCCAACAAATGGAAGTAAGCTGCTATTATTAGTCTTTAATTTTGGTTAAATACTACAAGTAGAAACTTTGCATCCTCCTAATTTTAATATCTTCAATATCATTTGCAATTGTCATTATTTCAAGATAGCAGTCGACAAATTGAATCATTAATGGTACGTAATTTAGTTTTGTTGCTATATATTTGCTTGACTCTTGGAAAGTAAGCATGAAACAACGTTAAAGTATATAACTGATGCATTGTTGAATTTTGTTTCATTTGACAAAAAAGTTTAACATGATCTGGTGGGTGTGATTTTTTTTTTTTTACAAATACTGCGACAATTTTTTGCAAATGAGTGAAGGTAATCCATATTATTATATTTTAGGTTTAACTATAGGTTAATTATAATTATATTGCCTAAAAGTAATGTTGAACCCTTTACCCATAACTTCACTCACCTGATTCTGTTTGGAGATGAAATGAACGTTAGAATTCTTTAATTTACTGTGATTTGAAAATTTGCAAATGGGAGAAAGTGAAAAAAAAAGATGTTTAGATTTCCAACAAAATATTAACTTTTTTAAGAAGCTTATTAGAGCCAATCTTATTTTTCCTTTTCCACTACTTTAACATTTAGATTCATAATAGTTATGCTTTTATGACTTGTACGTTTTTAATAAAATGATGTATTTTATATGTACTTTATTAGCCAATTCATAGTGAAAAAGGCCATTGGAAATTCAAATTCCAAGGCAACCTACTACTGGCTATTGTAAATACATCCAACTATTTTTTAATATATAAAATAAAACTACTTTTTACTTAATTTAGAGTTGAAAAAAATATATTTTTAAATTTTGTAAACAAATATAATTTTACCATGTTATAAAATACTCATATACCTTAAATGAAATTTCCATTTTCGGTTGGACATTGTACAGCCAGAAGCCAATGAGAAGCAACAAATAGAAAATCTAACTTAAAAAGAAAATATTACATCCATCCATCTGTACTGGATTCTAATATCATGCCTGCAACTATTAGTAACCACCTCAAGGGCAATATATGAATATTTTGATACTGAAAAATTATTACTTTTCAATTTGTTTAAGTTGATTTTAATTGATGCTTTGTTGTTTTTGTTAATTTCAGATGGTTCTGAGGCTATAGAAGTTCATATTTAATTAATTTTAATAGTCCTAAATACTCCTAATACAAAAAATGTGTCACATTTAGTGGCCTGACAAAATCTTCGGAAACATTAGTGGCAGAAATACTCCCCATAGAATTTCGGTTCAACACGGAAGTATTAACCATAGAATTTCGGTTCAACACGGAAGTATTAGCCGTCAGATGAATATCCAGGTGTAACATTCCCCGACTTCCGTAGTCTTGATGATTATTTGAGCCATTGGGTACTCATGAAATGATGAAATCACTAAAAACAAAACACTTTACATTTGGATTCACAATGAAGGGGAGTAGGCAGATACATTAAAAAAGTATCCTTTGTTGGTAGATAAAAAGAATTTGTTTATATTTATAAGCTATATTTTAAAGAAAAATATAATATGAGTGTGCACTATCATTTGTTTAAACTGTACACAAGTATAGTCGTGTATTTTCATTTCTTTAGAACTAGTACCTATACCAGATATAACATTGTACTCCTCTTTTACTCATGAGTTGGTTTCTTTCAGGCATGGTAAAGGTTTCATAACTGATGTTCTCATGTACTGAGATTAACTTCCAAACCAATGTGTTAGTTATCAGATACATTTAATGTTTTCTTTTTGAGGACGAATATGAGGCAGAAAGGTGAAAGTGATGATGTGCCTCACATCTACAAGGTTTATCATTTTTTTTTTGGGATAGACACATACTAAATGTGGAATGTGTAAAAAATGGCAATATGCTTGAAATGACATTCTAATTTCTAAATGGCTACTATGAGGTACCTGAAATGCCCTTCTACTTTATAAAACATGGTATTTGTTAATTTTCTTTTATGTCTATTTCAAAGTGAGTTGCTATTTCTTGCAGACATTTTTTTTTCTTTTCATTATATTAAATTTTACCCATTTAAATTTTTGCAGCATGATCAGCCCGAGTCATAATCAACTGGCAAGGTCAAAAAAAGTGACATCCAGTAAGAAATAACATATACTGTAACGACCAAAAACTTCAACCAAATTAAAACATTTTATGTCATTCAAAAACCATTAAAATCATACATCTTGTTTTCAAAATAGTTTAAACATCGGAGTATTCCCCCAGAACCATATCACACAAATCATAAAACATGAGGAGCGGTACGATCACGCCTTCGCCTTGCCACGATCTCCTGAAGCACCTTAAACAATAAACCACAACTATTAGCCCGAAAGCTTAGTGAGTTCCCCCAAAGTACCCATACACAAATAAACATATGCATGCGACAAAGAACAACATACTACGGGTCCAATCAACCTTCCAGTTGGACTACCCCTGGCCCTTAACCATCGGGTTGGAATGCCTACATACTATGAGCCCAATCATCCTATCGGGATGGGATACTCTCGGCCCACAACCATTGGGTTGGTATGCCCATACACCTATATGTACAACAATAACTACTATGGGTCCAATCATCCCTCAGGATGGAATACCCAGGCCCATCAACCATCAGGTTGGAATGGCATCATATTATGAGTCCGATCATCCTATCTGGATGGAATACTCCTGGCCCACAACCATCGGGTTGGAATGCCCCACCTCCTATACATACGGTAACTACTACTACTACTATGGGTCTAATCATCCCTCGGGATGGAATACCCCCGACCCCTCAACCATCGGGTTGGAATGTCGACATGTTATGAGTCCAATCATCCTATCTGGATGGAATACTCCTAGCCCACAACCATCGGGTTGGAATGCCAATCTATACTAGAAAACATGAACACATAACATGCAACCACATAATACTCTACAAAACCAACATACTAGGGCCGTATCATCCTACCGGGATGGAATACCCTCTATTACTGCTCAACATACAGAACCCGCAGGTAGCCTCCTACTAGCGTACATAAGACAAGACCAACTACCGGTCTATAAATAACCACTACCCAACTACCAGGGCACTGATCCAACAGAACTAGCCATCACACAACTATCCATTTCTCTAGGATACTAAGCTAACAAGGCATATCTTCATGTCCTTATCCTATATACTAGGATACTAGCAAGCATATCATTACACAACATAATAAGCTCTAAACAACAAGTCAAAGGGCCGGCCTTGGTGCCTTAGACCCTTGGGTACAGTGAGGATAACTCACCTTACAACTATCGCAATCCTACAAATCTCTGACTGCTGACTCGCCGTAAATCCCAACTATCACATGCAAAATCATTACATTAGAAACCATCATGATTTCCTATGCCAAGGGCCCACAACACTCATTAAGTCCATCCTACTCTTATTGGGCCAAGACCCAAAACCAAATCCTCATGCAAAGCCTAATATTGGCCTAATTTACTAAATTGGGCCCACCTTTCCAAACGGGCCTAGATCCAAGGTCCATAATAATTATTGGGTCCAAAATACTCCATCCATAATATTCAGTCACGACTCAAGCCTAGCTAGCCCATAAACAGCCCAATCACCTAAGGCCCAAGTTTGAAAGCCCATTAGAGAGAGTACGCTGGGCGTGCCCCTCTTGGTACGTTGGGCGTACTTTGATTCTCGCAGACTGGAAACGGGACACTGACCCACTATGCTGGGCGTACATCAATTTACGTGGGGCGTAATCTCGCTGAACTAAAATTCCTCATAAGTTCTTAATGGCTTAAGCTCTTAAGCCCAAACTTCAGATCCATTGACCAAATATGCCTAGGATTCATACAGTCTCAAACTTTATTACTTGGGACATACCTAAAGCTCTTAACTCAAGGTCTTAATCCATTAAGACTTACTACATCACACATGAGACAACCAAAGCCATTGGGACCTCATTTTTCTTACTCAAGACCTCTCCTAAGGTCTGAAAGGATAGCTAATCTGAACCAACTCGCATCATGCATCACTTTAGGGTTTTTGGGACAAGAAATGGTGTCAAAACTTCATAACACATAGATCTACACAATATAATTGTCAAGCAAGAGACTTTATACCTCAAAAGGGCTCCAAAAGATGATGGCTTCCCAGATCTACAAGCTCCAGCCACCCAACTCCTTCCTTGACAACTTCTTCTTTCTTCATCTAGGCTCTTCTTTGCCAAACCAAGCTCCCAAAGGTCAAATATCCTCAAAAATGGAAGAAGAACGGCTAATTAGGGTTTCTGAGGGTAAGAGGGCAGATATGGAGGCTAGGGTTAGAACCATAATGTTTCTTATATAGTGCTTGGCCCTAAAATTAGGGTTTCTGGGCACTGGACATACGCTGGGCGTACATCGAGGAACTCCGCGTTTCATTTACTCCATTACGCTGGGCGTAACCCAGCGTACATTAGGCGTACCCACGTGTGTCCCAAATGCATGCATGGCCTTCCTTTGAGAACTTTTTCCATTAAGGGACCAATATTGACACTATCTTCAAAGTGTCATAACTCCTTTATTCTAAGTCCGTTTCCAACGGTCTATATATCCACGAAAAGGTGGCGAGAAGCCCTACGCTTCTAGCAACACTACCTAACTCGAAGCCTTGCCGAATAAAACCCATTGCCCATAAAAGACCAAAACATCCTTACTTTTGGTCTTGGGGATCCAAGAATAGTTACTCTTAGAACGGGGTGTTACATATACTTCCATTTTTTTTCCTTATCATAGCATTATACATATTTTTTTTGCATATCACAAAAAATTGTAATTCGAAAAATGTAATCAACTATAGCATTACAAATTGAAAAGTATACATAGAACCGATAATTGCTTATAAGCCTGCAAAATAGTTTGTTTATAAAGTAATCAATGAAGTATGTGTACTTATGCTCTAGGTAGC